AGAGTTGCAAAAGCATCTGGGTATTGTCGTTGGTGGCTGCCATGAAAGCTTGCCATGACTCCGGAGGCGGAGGAGGTGGCGGAGGTGGAGGGTTTGCCTGATTCCCATCATTGCGGTCCGGATTCAGACGCGTTGGAGGAGCCATCCTGAAGAGGGTGCCATCTGTTAGTACCATGATAGACAGATATACAAGCTGAATCAACAGAAAGACATTGCAACATATATTATTCACAATAAACATTCGAATAGAGATTGAACGAATGAATTCCAAAGTTAACATTACACAACCATTAAGGTGAGAAGCCACTTTGAAAGATATTTATGAATGCAACAACAAGGTACGACTGGAACAAATAAGTGGTAAGGATTACCCAATCACATACCAAATATCTGCGGGAAGAATAACTAAGAGCTACTTGAATTCCCACCTATAAACTCCTGAAACTTTGTGGTTATGCAATCTGGTGTTGGGGATATAGGGAGGCACAATATATATCACACAACTAACAAGCCCTATGCTCCAACTGTATCCATCTGTCAACACATAACCAAGAAAACTCCGGAAATCATGTACCTCAACCTTCGAAAAGCATCCATTATACGAGTTGTGACAATGCTCCTGAACTCCCTCCCCAGTACTGGGTGGCGTTGAGGTTATCTCACCACTAACTGCATAAAAGAGATTTTCAATGTCAGCGAACTCAAGTATTCTAGAACTGCAAAGATAAAATTGTGACGACAACACCTCGGAGCTCAACTCACCAGGACACTGCCACAACCCCTAAATGTCAGGTGGCACCAAGAACAATGTTCTCGTCACAAGAATATCGGAACGATCCCAAGATACCCGCGTGATCCTAATTGTTTTAGTGAAATTGAGGAGAGGAAAGTCAAAACATCTACGTCAGGAGACCTCACCAGAGCGTCGAAGGGGGATGAGGGGTAAAAACAATCCTACTCTCCGATATATATAATCCTAAGACTCAAAACAGTTTTGTTCTAGACTCAACAACGTCAATGATTCGATCGAGCAGGGGGCTCCTAAGTCGTGGATGGCTCTAATACCAACTTGTAACTCCCAAGATGCGATTCTATCCCAATCACGTGATGAATTCATGATTGGGGCACAACCACATTTTGAGCACATATCAAGGTGGATATCATTACAACATACCATGTACTGAATAGATGAGAACACAAGATAAAGGCTTACACTCGCCACAAGCTACACCATTCACACAACAATACATCAATACATGGCAACCATCATACAGAAGAGCAGGATCCGGCTACGGATGAACACAAACGAAAAATAAGAACGGCATCCACCCTGCTAGCTAAGGCTCCCCGACCCGGAACCTATCCCTCGAATGAAGAAGAAGAAGAAGCAGAAGAACTCCAAACAAGCAAGCATCGCACTCGCGTCGGACCATCACATTACTTGTACCTGCAACTGTTGTTGTAATAATATGTGAGCCACGAGGACTCAGCAATCCCTTTACCATGGGTATCAATACTAGCAAAGCTTAATGGGTATGAAAAGGATAAGTGGTAAGGTTGCAGCAAGCGGCTAAGCATGGTATGGAGGCTAACTTACGAGTACAAGAGTAAGATGAGAAACTACGCAAACGGTCGCAAACTAGTAATGATCAAGAAGTGATCCTAAACTATGTCGCACTACCTACCAATTGTTTATCATGCCTCCCTTATTGCCATGTCCAGGCTCTAACCCACCTTCCTAGCAAACCGTTGTTTGGCTATGTTACTGCTTTTGCTCAGCCCCTCTTATAGCGTTGCTAGTTGCAGGTGCCTCGCAGATTGTTCCATGTTGGAACATGGATATGTTGGGATATCACAACATCTCTTATTTAATTAATGCATCTATATACTTGGTAAAGGGTGGAAGGCTTAGCCTTTTGCTTGGTGTTTTGTCCCACTCTTGCCGCCCTAGTTTCCGTCACACCGGTGTTATGTTCCTTGATTTTGCGTCCCTAACACGGTGAGGGTTTATGGGCCCCTCTTGATAGTTCGCTTTGAATAAAACTCCTCTAGCAAGGCTCAACCTTGGTTTTACCATTTGCCTAATTACAACTTAAAACTTGCATAGGGACTTTTCGGACCCCGCGGACTTAATCAACCCCCGGGCCAGTGCTCCACATGAGTGTTGGTCCAAACTAGAGCACCGTGCGGGGCCGCCCCTAGGCAACTTAGGGTATTTGGTATATACCTATACGCTTCGCTCATCCGGTGTACCCTAAGAATGAGATCGTGCTACTCCTATTAGGCTAGGTCGGTGCATCGGGAGGTCTTGTTGGACTTGTTTTACCATTATCGAAATGTCTTGTGCACCGGGATTTCGAGTCTGATCGGAGGATCCCGAGATGGAGGATTGTCTCCGCGGATCATGAGCTTGTCATGGGCTAAGTTGGGACACCCCTGCAGGGTTTAAACTTTCGAGATCCGTGCCCGCGGTTATGTGGCAGATGGGAATTTGTTAATATCTGTTTGTAGTGGACTTGAACTAAACTCAATTAAAAATACACCAACCGCGTGTGTAACTATGACTGTCTCTTTTCGGGTGCGTTCGAGAAGAGAACACAGTTGGGTTATGTTTGAACATAAGTAGTTCAGGATCACTTCTTGATCATTACTAGGTTGCGACCGTTTGCGTAGTTTCTCATCTTACTTTTGTACTCGTAAGTTAGCCACCATACAATGCTTAGCCGCTTGCTGCAACCTCATCACTTATCCTTTTCATACGCATTAAGCTTTGCTAGTATTGATACCCATGGTAATGGGATTGCTGAGTCCTCATGGCTCACAGATTACTACAACAACAGGTACATGTATAGGTAATGCGATGGTCTGGCGCGAGCGCGGTGCTTGCTTGTTTGGAGTTCTTCTACTTCTTCTTCTTTGTTCAAGGGATAGGTTCCAGGTCGGGGAGCCTGTGCTAGCAGGGTGGATGCCATTCTTCTTTTTCGTTTGTGTTCATCCGTAGCCGGATCCTGCTCTTCTGTATGATGCTTGCCATGTATTGATGTATTGTTGTGTGAATGATGTAGCTTGTGGCGAGTGTAAGCCTTTATCTTGTATTCTCATCTATTCAGTACATGGTATGTTATAATGATATCCACCTTGCTATGCGTTTGAAATGCGGTTGTACCCCAATCATGAATTCATCACATGATTGGGATAGAATCGCATCTTGGAAGCTACATCCCACCATCAAGCGCATCCAGCAGGTCGTGTTGCAACCCACGGTCAAGTCCTTTGCATCTCTGGCGACCCCCGGCTTCAGTTAAATCTCCCATGTCGCCGGTGGAAGATCTTTAGCGTCTTGGACTGCCCACACGGTTGTAGCTTTTTGGATCCCGTTAGCACCTGTCTTCTTAAACGGTTGCATCTTTTTTATATCACTTTAGTTCCAGCTTTTGTCAAAATCGATATTTTTTTGCATCTTTTTTCTGAAACCACCGGTTCCAGCTTCTCAAATCACCGGTTGTATCCTTTTATTCTGTCAGTTGCAACTTTATTGGAATTTTCAGTACCAGTTCAAAATCAATGGTTGCAGCTTTTTGCCAAGCCGGTTGCATCTTTTCTAATCATCGATTCCAGCATTTTTAGTCACCGGTTCCAGCTTCTGTTCAGCTCGTCACATTCGTTGATAGTAGCTTTCCCAATCGCCGATTGCAGCTTTTTGACAAGCCGATTGCATCTTTTCCAAACACTAGTTCCAGCATTTTTCAATAGCTGGTTCCAGCTTCTATGTCAGCTGGTTGCATCTTTTTAATCGCTGGTAGTAGCTTTCCGAATCGCTGGTTGCAACTTTTGTTTCAGCTGGTTGCGTCGTTCTAAATCATCGTTTCCATCTTTTGAAAATATCGCCGGTTGCAACTCGCCGATCATCGTTTGTCTTGCTACACCGGTGACCCGGCGGTGCTAGAAGAGCATTCCACGCGGGCACCTTTTTTTGCTGCAACTGCTCAGCCAAAGCTACAACTAGCACACGCGACATTGGAGCTGGTGCCTACTGCCGGGGCTCCGGCGTTGCCTGTCGCTGTTGGTGAAGTGAGCCGTGAGCAACATCACGAGAGGAGGGGGGGCGAGCTCGCCGGGGGCGCACGCACAGCGGCAGGAGGAGGAAGTTTGACTGCATGCGAGGTGGATAGCGTTTTTTTCTGAAAGTTTTGACCAGAAGAAGAATGAGTCGGGGTTGAGATGCCAGATTAGACAGTCCCGGCTCGCCGCATCGGGCGGCTGGCGTTCGACTGGTCCAACAGTTGGGCCGGCGTGCCAGCGCAGATCACCGCCCTAAATATTTTTTTCCTTATTAGCGTTCCGTTAAAAAAGAACTTTTTGAGATTTGGACTTGTGTAGCACGTGCACGATTGCTAGTTCTTCACAAACCTACAGTTGTGAGAGACATATCTCAGCCCTACACTTCTCCCTTCTGGCAAGCAAAGCCTTATTTCATCACAAATCACCGAGCAGGTTACAGACACCAACAGTATGCATATAAGCACCTCGTCTCAGGTTGACGTTACAGGCAAAAACGTCACGTTATTGCAGTGTAATCAGGTGGATTCCGGCGTCGATCGCAGTTAAAGCGTCAGCGGAAACTGTTACTCCCAAGCATGTGCCTACTCGCTCGGCGACGACACCGTGGGCGGCGACGGCGACGGCGACAACAAGGTCGACGAGGTGGACATGGGCTCGTGGAGGACGGTGTTGGTGGAGACCGCGATGGCGTTACCGTCTAGCTGCAGCATCACCGCCCCGAGGATCTCGGTGAGCAGCTTCTTGAACTCCGCCTCGTCCACCGCCTTCCCGTCGTCGGCGTTCGCCATCTTGAACGCCTCGTTCACCACAGCATCCACCTGTGCATTTTTATGAAAGATCGTGGATCGTTTAGAATTTTAGCCAACACTCAGAACATTCTATTTCACATTTATCAGCTTCGGAATAAATGATTTAGTATTACATGGAAATGATCTCTTCTAAATTACCTGGTCAACAGCTCCATATGGTGGTAGATTTACTGAGGCGGCCAACTTGTCAAGCGCGACGCGAAGGTACTTCTTCGATGTCCCATCTTTGTGTTCCTTTGGTACATCTACCCAGACGGAATCCAGCAGCTGGGAGAGAAAAATTGCATCGACGTGTATCGATCAATATCGTTTAACTGGATACAGTTTCCATAGATAAAATCAAACTTGTGGAACATGTATCTTAGTATGAGTATACCTTGTCGAACTCGAACTTCTTAGACAGTATCTTCCTAATGCCAGCCCCATCAAAGGTGTTTTCAGTGTGCGCCACAATTACCGGGCACTCCTGGAGTCGCTGGGCGATCACTGCCAAGTACTTCTTGAATTCCTGGAAGAAGACCTCTTGCGACGCCGGGCGATCGAGCTGATCTGCCGGCAGTTCCTGCAATGCAGGTTCTATGACCTTCTCCATAACCTATCAAACACTCAATTGTCAGCAAACGCTCCACGAGCTTTGCCAAAGACATGAATTATTATGGTTCCAATTTCTGTTGTTTAAGCTGCACAAGTGTACCAGAGAATCCGAAGCCGGTGGCATGCCGTGATCGACCGTCAGCTGTCGAAGAGCGGCGGGCAAACATTGTCGCAACAACGCACTTCCGGACTCGATTTGAGAGAATATGGCGACCGCCTCTGCTTCGTACGCCGTGCTCTCGACAAACTCGTTCAGGTCTTCCCCGTCCATCCTGAGGATCATGATCGGGTCCCTCTTGAGCCCGGCCGCCATGCCGAGGAGTATGTCGGACAGCACGTGCTGGAACTCCGGCTTGCTCACCGAATCTTGCTTCCCATGGGTGAACTCATTTAGAACCTGCATCGCATATTACACATCATTATAATTATATCAGTAAACTTAGCGCGATGGGCTGCCAGTCATTGATCCAACTAGCTGAGTCATGCGCGCCATGTGGTGATGATGTCGTGCAATGTGGCAAAGGTACACACACGTCACTGTATGGGTGTTGTGCCGTAACGATGTCCCCTGTTACTTTGAGAAGATAATGTTCCATATCTATACCCCTATATAGTATGTGAATAATTTTAAAAGATGGTCGTTGTATGAAGCCAATTCGACGATGCACAGATGACAAATCTGAGCACTACTGACCATTGAATATCATCTACATTCCACCAGATTCTGCCACATGTACAATCTATAAAACTTTATGATTGAACTTAAGCATAATGCACAAACCTCAAAACACAAGCAATTCTCCTTTGTTCTAGAATCTTCCGTATCATAATTGGCCAAACTTTTCTTTTCTAGAGGATTTGCCATAATTTGTTTTTACCTTATGCTTTACAACGCACAATTCCATGAATCTTAGAATAGATTGATTTTTTTTATAAAAGCTAATTGATTTTGAATGAGATGAACTATAAAAATTAAACGAACATCTATATCATGCATATATGACTCAAAGCTTACATGCTATAGCGTAGTATTTAGAGTGAATTCCGGTTTTTACCCCCTATTTTGACTTTTTTGACACTAATTACCCCATTTAGCGGGATTTCATCCGTTTTACCCCATTTAGCACAAGTGTTGCCACAATTTACCCTCTTTTAAATTTTGCGTGCGTTCTGACCTACGGGTCACAATTTGTCAGGTCTAGCTGGCATGCCACGTCAACGGGTTTTTTCTGTCTATTTTTCTCCCTACTAAACTCATTTCCGGTTTGAAGTATTCTGATGGGACGATTGTACTTGATCAGCACGTCATATTACCATTGAATAAATTATAGGAGAAATTGTTACCAATATAATCTAAAATCATGTATGTTTTTCTTCAGTTATCATATATGGCCTTAAGTATGGATGGTTCTGTAGATTAGATTAAAGTGGTGTAAATATACTACTTTACTAACTCTGATGCACCTACATATCTAAATATCTAGGTAGCAAATATGTTGATTGAAGAGTATGTGTTGTTACTTGCTAGCTGTAAAGGAAGTTTGGATCTTTGTATCTTATGATGCATGCTGAAACGTGTTCGTTCACCGTATTAGAGTATATTATGATTGCAGCCACTAATTCATTTTTCTTTTTCTTGCACAAAGCGGATGGTAACGGAGATGTAGAGTGTTAGGCATATTTTACATGTCCGTGGATACAAGAATCCAGAGCCAGAGATGATTGAGAGGTATTTCATTATTTATTTTGATATAAAGGAGAAGATGAAGGAATTGGGTTCCAACCCTTGGGACAGCGCTAATTATCAGAAGAAGGGGGCCAACGGGAACTCCATGATTGAGTTAACAGATGATGCAGGCATGGTGAACATGCTAGAGGAACTTGATGCTTATAAGAAAATCAGTTTGAATGTTAATTGGGGGAGAGCAACACAAACGAGAAGCCATGGGAGGCGAGCGTGGCGCGCGGCCGACTTGGACGTTGGACGTGCCGCGAGCGACCTCCATCGGCTGAGCCGGTCAGAAGAAGCGGCGCTGCCCAGTTCAGCAGTGAGAAAAATAGCCAGGAAAAACCACTGACGTGGCATGCCAGCTGGACCCGACAATTGTGACCCACCAGTCAGAATGCTCAAAAAAATTAAACGGGGTAAATTGTGGCAACATTTTTGCTAAATGGGGTAAAATGGATGAAATCTTGCTAAATGGGGTAATTAGTGTCAAAAATGTCAAAATAGGAGGTAAAAACCGGAATTCACTCTAATATTTATTGATAATTTGGTTGCCAAATCTCATGTGTGCAATACACGTGTACCTTACTAGTAGTAGCTTAGTTTTCTTAATTACTGGGTGCTAACTTTGAGCATAGTTAAAAATTGGGGGGCCAACAAAAATCAAAATACAAAGATGTTGTTACTGTAACTGTTAAAATATTACTCCCCCCATCCCGAATTACTTGTTGCAGAAATGAATAATTCTGGATAGAGTGAGCAGTAAATTGTAGGCATTTAAATATATAGTAACGTGGAAAAAATACGTTCCAATACTTATGAGTTTTGCTTCGGTACATCCCCTTCAAAGTTTGCACGGATCTTGAAGTTATAGATCAAGCGTATTGAATTGATTGATTTGAATACAAAACACTATATTATCCTTTTTGAATCAAGGGGTACCTTCTAATCGTGTGTACCAAAGCAAAGTTTGATAATTATTTAATTTCCTAAAATCATATTGAACAAGATCCAACTTGGTTTTTACCCCTCCAAAATCTAAATGGTTCTCAATCCCCTTTTATAATTAGAGAATCTGATAAGTAGATGGAAAGATGCTTCAGAATACATGAGGTGATAGAGTTGGGGTTCAGTTAGAATGCCACATGATCCAATACTCACTACGTCGTGAATTACATGTCACGCAAATGATAAAATTGACTTTATCTAAAACTAAAATACATGTAGATACATCCATTTCCATGTCAAGTAATTCCAGACAGAGGGAGCAGATGATAACGTTTGGTTGGATGGAGCATATCAAACGGCTAATATTTAAAGTTATTGGCACGCTGTTTGGTTGGATGGAGCATATCAAACGGCTAATATTTAAAGTTATTGGCACGCTATATGGCGGTATAGACATAGTAGATGTGTCGAATATATGCATACGTGTAGAGCTGACCAGATTCTCTTTACAGCCATTTGGAATCCCTGTTGAGTATATGAAACCACGTGCCCTTCTGCATCATTCTAGAGGCATGAAGCGTGTCCACAAAGCAGAGTACTACTTGTACATTATACTACTTATGCTTTTATGTGCTAGTATAATAGCACGTCACTACACATCCAGAACTTCCTAGACATACTGAATGAAACTGGACGACGGATAACAGTGTTGGCTACACATCGAGTGGACACTTTCACCAAGGAAAGTTATGTCCAGCTACAGGTCTTATATATATTGCAAAACAAAACCATTAGGAAACTCAAAGTCTTGAACGGTGAGGATGATACACGTTAACATACGGAGGGGAGTTCTACTTTTACATACCTCGGAGTAGATGTGGTCCGCCTGCGCCGACGACCCCCTGGCCGGCAGCCCGATGGCGGCGCCGATGTCCGCGACGGCGGGCTGGAGCTCCCTCAGCGACAGCCTCCCGTCGCCGTCGGCGTCAAGGTGCCGGAACTTGTTCTCCACGAACTTGGCGAACGCCCCCTCGTTCTCCACCAGCTCGCGGATGTCCGACCCGTCCAGCACCTGCGCGTTCTTCCTCCTCGCTTGCTGCTGGCCGCTCTGCATCGTGTCAACCTCCTCCTTTTATATCACGATGAGAAGATGAAGAAGCTCCAAGTTGCAGCAATGGCGGCAGGTCCCTCGTGAGCACGACGCTGATGGGTGTGTCTCAGGATTAAGGTGGTCACAGGCTAAAGTAAAACTACTAGTACTTGTTTCTAGCCTTTTGCGTGTGAGACTGTGAGTGACGATGGCGGCGGATCGGCTTGCCCTGTAGTTGGTTGGTCTTGTATTTTATAGGCCCGTGATGCCTGACTAGCTCGGGTTGTTGGACGGATAAGAGGGTTGTGCAACGTCGCCCGATGGGAATGAAAGGCGGGGGGCACGTGTGAGGACGCGCGGCGACACATGGCGGCGTGTACCCTTTTTTTATGCTTTTGCCGTCGCTTCTGGCTGGTCGGTGCTTGTCCTCTACGACTTGCGTACCTTTAAAAAAGAGAAATGATTGCGAGTGAAGTGTATCATATGTTCTTGAACTATTTCATAAACGTCACGTATGTTCTTGCACCACGAAATTTATTATTCAGGTTTTCAAAATGCAATATGCATGTTATTCGGTCTCCCAACTATTCTAAAGATGCCACATAGGTCCTTAAACTATTTTGAAGGTGTCACATATACACACACTTGATACACTTCAATGATTTTGGAAGACCTAGATGACACTTTGCACAGTTTGAAGACATCTTTAAAATAATTCGAGGACTTAGGATGCACTTCGAAATAGTTTTTTTTTTCTTTTTTCTTAGAGAAATAGGGAGTTTATGAGAGTGGCGTTTTGGCACATTGGAGCGCGCGCTCTTGGTTTTTCAAATATGTTTTAAACATATTTTAAAATATTAAAATATTCAAACAAAAACTTGGCGCGTATGATATTGTACATGCTCACAAGTCGTTTTGTGAGAAACCGACAACTTATGTACCGCGTGTGAAAAGGACAAAATCCAGTGTTAAAAAATGTTTTCACGAGACATTCTTTTGTCTTTTTTACACAAGGCATAAAAAATGTCGGCTTCTTCGAAACTTGACGTGCACACATATAATGTCGAGTTGTACGTGCCAAATTTTTATTTGAAATATTTTTTCCGCGTGCAGGAGCGCGCGCTCTTGGGAGCACCAACGAATTCCCGGGAATTTATTCTTTAGGTAATAGGGTTAGAGAGTTCCTTGATATAAGGTGGACCTATTTGAAGCCAAGCAGCAGTACGTGATTTAATATAACTATAATTAGCCAGGCAATCTGCTATCCTATTTTGATATCCAGTGAGCTTTTAAGGAATAAACTTCGGTCCTTCTTCAAAGAATCCGACTGAACAAGTACTGGTTGCTTTGTATGCTGATAGACCTAAGGCCATACCTTGCATCATACTTCCTCACGTTCCTAAATACTTGTTTTTCTATGCATTTCAATAAGTGACTACATACGAAGCAAAATGAGTGAATTTACACTCTAAAATATGTCTACATACATAGTATGTAGTAGTCTTGCCTAGAAAAACAAATATTTAGGAACGGAGGGAGTACTATGTATTTTTGCTTTCAGTGCATTGTTACAATTGAATGTAACTCGATATGCCGCAGAGATCGCAGTCACATTTTCTCTTCCTAATATCATACCTGCTGCCGCCATCACTTGATGAAAAACGACTCATTGGTGAAGAGCATTAGATCTACTAGCAAAAGAGCCCATACGTTGTAACGAGAGAGAAAATAACACATGCTTTTAACCCAATAACCATGACTCAAGACCCTAATTGGTCCACGTCCTTTACGGTGGCCTCGGCACTCACACAACGAAAACACATTTGAATATGGTCAGTCCTAAGACGTCCTCTCTCTCTCTCAAAAAGATGAGAAATATGTTGTTTTCCCCCGCGAGATTTCTCAGAGGTGTGCATGTATGGTTATTGATGTTTCATTTCCTCTCAATATGGTTTTAATAGGTGTTTATTTGTAATTTGGATCGCCGCCAGTACGAACGAAAAACGGACTGTGCACTATATATTAAGTTTGCACCAAAAATAATATTTTAGAAATATTTAACAGCTAACAATAATATCATATTTAGATTGTATATATTTTTTTAATCAAATTTCATATATAACATGTTAAAACCGGAGTTACGATTTAAAATATATGAATAATTTTGTTGCTGCTGATTGATTAACCAAAAAGTCAGAGATTTTCTGATAAAATGTAAAAAAAGAGTTCGACTATGATTTAAACATGTACTGCGGATTAATTTACAGAAAAGAATGGGGATTTTTTTAAAATGGCACGACGGTGAACCGACAAAAGCACTCCGTGCTTTAGAGGATGTACTGTCGACAACTCAATTTAGATAAACTGATTTCATATACTTGGATCACAACCCTGAATGTTTCCCCTCGAAACTGTAAGCATAAAACCTGATCCAAGTGCACCACAAAATTTGCTCATTTTCTCAACATCAAGCTAAAATTTCAGAATCAAATTGCCAAAAAATATTTCAGAATTGAAAACACCCGGAGTACAATCGGATATAGATATATGTCCACGGTCCAACACTAATGATCCAACTCAATTTAAGGTGTATTTGAATTAGTGAGCGCTGCTTGTGGATGCAACTCAGACTAAGGCACAATATATATTTGGAACTTACACCAAGCTGAGCTTGACCTTGTACAATGAACTGTCCTGAAACCTACACGCGCGCACACTGCGCCAGGAAGTTCTCCATTGTCCCCGCTCGCATACTGCGTTAGGAAGTTCTCCATTGTCCATGGCCCCTGGGCGGTTGTAGAACAACTCCGCCATCACATCACGCAACTGGCTGCAATCAGAAGAACGGCGAGGGTCTCCTCATCGTTGATCTCTTTGTATCCACCAGCCGCACCAACAGGTGAGCGGGCACATGATACCCTGCTCCCAGATTAGCTTAAGCCAGAGAAACCAAAGTTGGGTTAGTAAGTTCGGAGTAAAAATAGAAGAACAAGTAAGTGATGCAGTGGACAGCTAATTTTCTGATATAGTAACATCACAGCAAAAACTGTGGATATTACCTAGCACAAATTGCAATACCAGAAGGAAACATCTCAGATAGACCAATAAAATTTGTATAACAATGTGCACTCAGTTGCACATTAAGTTGCTCATGACATAAATGTCTGGAAAACAAACTTCTCGCCTCAGAGAGAAAAGCAAATATGTAGAAATACTTCGGATTTCATCATTTCATAAAAAGAAGATTATTGAATCATAGGTACTGGGGTATGGTTATCATAGAAATGTATTAGCTTTGACATCAGGAAGGACTCTGCTACTAACAGTTCATTAATCCCTAAAACAGTGTTGTATATAGTTTCAGTTTCAAAATGTGACTCGTTCCCTGCAAAGAACTCATGCACGCATCCATCCAGTTCAATGAAAGAGCTACCAGGCTGCTTGGTCTTTCTGCTACTGTATATTCCTGTCCTCACTTTATTTGCATCAACACACCTTGATGTGGTAGCATAGATAGTTGTTTGGCTCCAATACTTGGATCCTTTCTGCTACATATACTCTGCAAGTCCCACCTCTCCGCAAGCTCTGCAGGCAAACAACAACGACCGCCACATTACCACATCAGGAGCGATGGGCATAGGCCGACAGGCTCGGCGTCGTCACCCAAATAGCAGGAAGACGCAACCTTGTATCGCAGGATGGCCTTTCATGGAGAACTGACCCAAAGATGATGTTGTAGATCTTGTGAATGGGCGCCCACCACAAGTCCAGTACTCCACCATCTGCAGCCGCCGCGAGCCCACCAGCATAGGCCACACGCCCTACCGTAAAACGCTGCACACTACTGCCTGCAACGCTGCTAGACCCATAGCCTGCAGGCCACCATCATAGTCGCCACTAACCCGGGTCTTGACTTTGACCCTGCCCTTTTAATCAAGTTCATAGTTCCCAGATCTTTGGGTTTGAATGTGATGGCAATCTGCATCATGGTGAACATAATGACTTTGACCCTGCCCTGCTTGTTGCTTTTAGTGAACTCGGTGTGCTTGGCATTGGCGATGTAAATACCGTCGAGCCACGTCTCATACTGGAAACATAATGAGCCCCACATTCATTTTTATCTCGAAATAGATATATAGATGCGAAACAAAATTCGACACTTGGTTGCTCTACTTTTAAAAGAATCAATACCATTGCAAAGCTTGTGACAAAGACTGCAATATCCAAGTTGGGGACATGAATAAATTATTAACCAATTAGTCCCAGATCTCAATGTAATCTGCTGCCTTTATTTCCAAAATACCAACTGCATCTATTGTGTGCTGCCTTTATTTCCAAAATACCAACTGCATCTATTGTGTGCGATTTCTTCCAATCAACACATCGAACTATCATCTTAGGTATAATCTAGATGTTACCTTTGACACGTAGCTGGTCAATTTGACTTCAACTTGAGAACTCCAATGAGTATTTTTCTCAGTGGATGCCTGCTTCTTTGTTTGGCTATGCACCCACACATCAGCCTGAACCAGCACCGCTAGGAGCCAGCTCCAGCTCAACCCGCACCGCACTAATGCAATCCCAGCAAAGGCCTCCCTCCTCCCCCAACATCAGCTCCCATAGCTGGCCCTATAACTCACCCTTGCGCTAGCCGAGTTGTGGTCGAGCTCTCCATGGGCTCCGGGGTTGTGGGACTCCGGAGGCGGCTGGCGTGTTGTGGGACTCCGTGATGCCGTCCATGGCCACAACAGCGGCTACCTCCAGTATCGCGAGATCCACGACGACCCAGGAAGGAGAGGGGCGGCATGTGCCAGCACAACGTCGAGTTTAATGGCAGGGTGGTCCGGCCACGGACACGGACCTGTTGCTCCCCACCATCGCGCCGCAGTCCCTCCACCCGCTACTAGAGCACACGTCGGTCTCCAACTGCGACGCGCCACCCCCGTCCTGCTGCCCGTCCCTGGCATCCTCCTATAAGGACTGCCTCATCTTCAGGCCCCACCACCCACCGCCGCGGCCCTCGCCTCCTCCCCAGCCGCCACCGCACCACTACTGCCGCGATTTCGATCCAAATCAGAGACACGGGAGCAAAGGGAGGCGCGCGCGGACGGTGGTGGTGGCGGTGGCAAAGGGCGGCGGCGCGGGCGGCGGCCGAGCGGAGGGCTGAGTTTGGTGGGCTGAGGCCCAGACGGATCAGGGAGAAGTCCAACTGACTTAAAACAACATCGACCTACAGAAATTTTGACGATGAAACTATAGACGGTTCCCCGAATTAGTACCACCTCGCATATATGTTTTAAATTCAAATTGAAAGCGTAAATTTACAGAAAGAAAGCGTATTGTGACGGTGAACCCACGGAGTCAATCCGTGCTTTATTATTAAAAAAAATTAGGATTAGGGATTAGGGATTAGGGATTAGGGATAGATAGATTATAAAAATTCACCGAGGGAACGGAACGCGTGCCTCGCTCCATGTGGCCCAGGCACGCCCCGTATAACATGGGCCGCCACGGCGGCAGGCACGTTCGTCGTGTAGAATTTTTCCTATTAGACTGTTTTGGGTCTATAATTCAGTCTATTGGGCAGTGTATAATAATAAAAATAAATAAAATAACTAAACTGGCCGTTATCTTTGGCTTCTGGGTACTTCGGACATTATTTGTATTCCGAACATTATCTTGGTCGATTTTTTTGAGGCAAATTATCTTGGTCGAATAAAGTTCCGTTACCCCTCCAAAAAAATGGCCTTGTCATGCCGGCACGCGTGCCCAGCTTCGGGGCCCAGGCACGGCCTTAGACGGGCCACGTGCCGGCACAGCCCAATTGTATGTGTGCCGGGCCCCAGGCCAGCTCACTACGGGCCGGGCACGCTGGCTATGAGGCTGGTACGCCTTGACCAGCCCATTTGGCCACGTTTGGCCCTTCTTCCTCGTGTCGTCTCCTTCCAAGCGAATTTTGCTAACCTAGCCCAGCCCTCTTTCGGTCGCACACCTCCGCCGCCAACCTCCAGCTCCGGCTCGCGAGACACCGCCACCACCCTCCCGCTAACCAGCCACAGCCTCCCCAACGCCCCTGAGCGCGCCGCCACCCTGCGTCCCCTGACCATCGCGCCGTTGTTCTCCGACCTCCCTGCCAGTCGCCGCCGTCGCCGCCCTGACCAAGACCACGACGCCGCCGCCCCTTAGCACGCGGAGCGAGACATTCGTCGGTCGAATTTGCGCCGCCCCAGTCCAGTCCAGCTCCAATACTGCATCGGTCTATCTATTGTGCTCCCGTCCCCCCTGGCAGTGGCGACGATGAAGATGTCAGTACGCATTTGCTGTTTAATTTTCCAGTGACATGGCAATCTCGTAGCTGTAAACTGCTCTCTCTATTGTGCAATCCCTTGCAAAACTAAGTTTAGTACATAATGGGTCCCTGAGCGATGATCCTATCGGAGAGGAATTAGCTGGTTTGATTGGGAATTTATGCAGATAAATTGTTGAGGCTGATCCTAATTTTGTTTCGCGTTAGTGTTTAGTCCCAGTTCTCAAACTTCGTAGCTAGATACTGAATAATTTAAAAGCTGAATCTTCATTACCTATCAGCTGTCTTTTCTAATCTGAAGTTCTGAACATCCAAAGCTCTTTATTGTTCTGCAGTGAGAAAGCAAATGCAGGGCATCTCACCAACTTCGAAGTTCTCGACTTCTTACGGAAAAGAGGTGCAAAAACTGATCCCATGGGATGTTTGGGGGCCGTTGCTGCATCAGAGTGTAAGGTATATGTTGTTTCTCTGATGCTTGACCCAATGTGTATGCTCAATAACCTGTTGATGCGTGTCCCCTTTTTATGCTTAAACTGGTCTCATGTTTATTGTTGTGACAAACAGGTATACGAGTACCTCCTGAAAACTCCTGCTTGCAATCAGACAAGGGAATCAGTTACTGAATTTGCAAGCAGATGTGAGGGTTTCAAGCTTACCGATGCTGACAAGCAAAACATTATCAATTGGAGGCCAACCTCAGCAGCTGATGTTTATGCGGTATTGCCATGTTTATTTTGCTGATCTTAAGATGCCCGTTAGTATGCTATCTATGTTTGCTGATACAAACCAAGAATGTGGATATAATATGCTGATACTTTGGACCATTTGTGACATCTTGAAATAGAAGTGTCTTTTGTTATGGTATTTAGTTTGCTTATACCTCATCACGATGAAAGATTGAACTCAACACTCAACATTGCCCAGCTTTGACAGATTTCTGAAAATAGTGATGCAAATATATTTGGGTAGCAATGATGCATTTTTCAGAAATATGTGCTTACATATGTGTCTGATTTATCGCTAAGAAATCTAAGTTATCCCAACGTTGGATGTTTATTATAATGTATGGATTCTGGCATCTGTAGGTCATCTGTTTATCTTTAATTGTTGAATTAAACCAGTATAGAATATAGATGAGCTCTGTTCTTTGGGCATGGGTGTGTTACTGTACTTTCGCATGTATAGATGTGCATGCAAAATCTTATTGGCAAATGTTTTGGGGACCAAACTACTGTAACTACCGACCTTATGCCACTCGTTGATCCCTGTTATAAAACATTACGCTATCACAGAATGAAATTGATTTTCTTGTCCAGAGATTTTGAGAGAATCGTTGGGTGTTGTAGTCATCTGTTCGCAGACAAGTACCACAGTCTGTTTTGTTGTCTCACCTCCCATCTTCTTGATGTTTTAGGTTAATACCTCATTCATCTAATTTGGTCCGTTCTCCGCTGCAGATGGTAGAGGAGTGTGGGAAGAGATTTTGCAAGGACGAGCGAGGATTGCCGCAGGATGAAGAGGACCGTGCCAAGGAACTTGTGGCTCTTGTAAACGAGATTTTTCCAGCACCGCCTGCAAAGCCAGAGGATGAAGTGGATGCGAAGCCAGAGGATGAAGTGGATGTGAAGCCAGAGGATGTAGTGGATGTGGATATGAAGGACAGCTGAAAGGGTTTAGTTCTGCTATATATATAAACGGTTTGATTCTTGACGAGGGATACAGACTTTTCGGATCGACCTGTAGCTTATCTATGCATCTGCATACATGTTCTGGGTAACTGCTCGCGGTGGCAGAAGGCCAATATTGTTTGAGGCATCAATGTCAGAAACAACAAATTGACCTATGAGCTTCAATCGCAGTTTTGAGGTTCTCTTCGTCCTTGCTGGTAACGAAAATGAACTCAAGAACTCGACATTTGCTTTACCTGTAAACTCGAATTTCCACATTTATTGGAACACATATATCTGGCTGGGTGCTCCAAGAAGCTGCCCAAACGGCAAAGCTTGGAAGCAGGAGTAGGAGGCACCTGTAACTCATTGTTTTAAACTGGGGGTCCTCCAACTCCAACTCTAACCTGAGTCCTAAACCAACTCATCCATTGTGGACGAAGCAGCATATGAAGACCGGTATCACCTGAAACTTTACAAACACAAAGCAGCAGCATCCCTACTTACCTACTCGCTCTTATATTATGAGAGGAGGGTACCTTCCTGCATTAAGCCGTGAGCTTGGCCCGATGGATGTGCGCACAAACAAAAGGCGGCTCAATCGTCGACCAACGGGCCGCACCATATATTCTCTCTCCCCCCTTCCTTCTTCAAGACTTGTACTGGAGCGAATCGGAGGCTGGGCGCCACCACTGTATCCTCTCATTCTATCAGCAGAAACAGTAGCGGGATCGTGGAACAGAACATAGCAACGGCACGGACCCGTACGCTTCCTTGTTTCGACGTGCAGGACCAGGAGGGAAACTTGATTTTGATCCGCGTGCGTCAGTGCGTGCCTGCGTTCTTGCGTCTTGGCGATCGGCCATGCTGGGCGGCCGGAAGTTGCTGCTTTTTTCCATTCTTTCCCAAGGAAGAGTTGTGGAGGCAAGCATCAGGATTGACCGCGAGAGCCTTGAGCATGTTCCTGCATTGTCATGTTTACATGTTGGGCCTCAGTCGGCCTTGTGCTCAACAATGGCAAGGTTGATTGGTCTTTTTTCTTTCTTTCTATTTTGTTTTTTTGGCTGTGTGCATTCTGGATATCCATATTCCATTTTTGGCGCTAATTGAGGCTGAGCTTGTCGAAGAAGAGACAACAGCGACGCATGCAGTTCGTGTGAGCGCGACGCGTCTGATTCGTCACTGCGTAGGCATGGGCCAGGGCCTTGCGAAGCCGATAGGGTTGGTGAGTTGTCTAGGGTTGTGTCGCTAGAGCTGGATACGAGTAGCACCACCCTACCGAATGTTGTCTGTGCACCTTGTACACACCGGTCACTGGGCGTGCCAGTGTCCTTGCGATGCCCCAGCTTTTTTTTTGAACATCAGTACAGACACAAGCGCTCATATACACACGCATACACTCATCCATATAAACGCACACACGTACACCCTACCCCTATGAGCACCTCCGAGAGACTGAGCCGGCATATCATCTTGAGATTTACAAAGTCACCGTAGGCGCCTCGTCATCGACGGGAACGTCTCCTCCCACTGAAAGCGTATCGTCGAAAATCCTGAAATAAATCCAGGAATAATGCGCCAGGATTTGAACCCTGGTGGGTTGGGGATACCACTGTCTACCTAACCAACTCAACCACAAATTGATTCGCGCGATGCCCCAGCTTGTTTGTACGGACTAGCTATATATAGGCCCGCCGGTAGACCAGGGAAACCTTTCCAAACCATTTCTCTCCGTTAGGTGAGTTGTCTACGTTTTGTATGCTAGAGCAGCACCACCCTACTGGATGCCGTCCATGCATCGTCGGTACACATATCTTCTTCGAACCAACCTTGTACACGCTTCCAAAATGCTTTTAAAGTTCTTCTCAACAACAACAAAAAAGTATAAAGCAAAAAAAGGTAAGAGCATCTACAACCGAATTTGGCAAATCCTGCACCTATACACCTGCGGGCGCACAGGGCCGGCCCTGAGGGGGGGCAGTAGGGGCGGCCGCCCCGGGCCCCTGAAATCCAGGGGCCCCCAGCTAGCCCAGCCCAGGCCCCAAGGAGAGGACCATGACTAAAAAATGTAGCGATAACGCACCATGTTTTCTTTCCAAGCGAGTAAATTGAGTAGTTCGCGATGATTGCGCGGCTGATTTCTTTGTTGCCCAGATCGTGAGTCACGACGACTCCAGCCACACATCCAAGTCGTCCTCACCATCTACCCCAAGTGCCGCCTCCGATGGACTGTTAAACTCCATGATCGATTTGTCGACGTTGTCGTGCTCGGACAGCTTGAAGGCTAGACAGTGCCGAGATCGACCCATTTTTGAAGGCCAAATGGTGATAATTTGTTGAGTTTTCTGTTTCCTGGTAATTTTGCTTCATGGCAGCGACGGGAGTCAAGGGTGAAGGCTGAAGGGCTTCACGATTTACCATCTGAAGGGTCATCTTCAGGTGAGTATGCATGGGTAGAATTAGGTTTCCGTTTGAGTTTCTCCCTTCCTCTCATGTGTGTGATCTGATCTATGATTATATTTAATTATCTCATAAATTCGTGCAGGGGAGTAGCATCAGAAGTTTGGTTATCACTCCAACAGCTGGGTCTGGCATGGTAAAACTATAATATCTAGTTCGTACTTATTAAAATTGATGTGCATATTCTTGCTTATGTTCTTATATCATCTTAGTAAATTGTTTTTTTAGCAGTTCTTTTAGAACATCGTGATTAGTTCTTTGAGAACCATATCTATTTTAGTTAAGTAGACTTTGTGATACAAAGGCCATTAAGCGAAGCGCGAAGCTGTTTGCCATAGAGGGCGATTAACCTCATCTCATAGCGAAGAGATCGTTAGCATGTGTGCCTCTTTATATGAAGATATTCACCCGTAAAGAAAAGGAGATGTCTTCAAATGCTTTGCTTCTCGCCGTAATCTCCTTTGTGGTCTGCCATTATGGCGCACTGAACCATCTTGGGGGTATTGATGACCCGGAGCCAAGAGAGGGTATTAGCAATTCCCGCTTTATGAACGAGCAAATACGTCGCCATCAAAATCACTTCCTGGCATGGTAGCGCTTCCGCTGTCCGAGGGTTCCGAATGTCAACAAAGATGACACTTTGATGCTCCCATGAAATCAAAGCTCATGGATCCTTGTGATGGATGCCTTCATAGGCTTGCAACCTTGCTGGCCCAACATGGCGTTTACGTTCACCTTAATAGTACAACTAACAGGAGGACGGATTGAGGATGAGACCATTATAAATGACTTTGCATCAACGATCGCTCGTAGAAAATTTTAAGGGGCCCCCAATTATAATTTCACCCCGGGCCCCAAAATGTCAGGACCAGCCCTGCGGGCGCGTTCGTGAACAACATCCGCCGGTCCCTCATATGTTGCGCCGCATATTTACATATCTCAAATTTTGATCCTTAAATCCATACAATCCATGCACGTAGATCGTACGATACAAATTATCGGAATTCAAAAGTTTAAAACAAAGCAAAGCAAATCATAGTTCAACAAATCGGACATGTCAAAATGAAATTAATGTCTGAGCATGCTGGATGGCATCGGATCACTGGCCGGGCGCCTGGTCCGAACGGAATGCGTCGTGCTACAGACGGAATGCGCCCTGCTCGTCCTGCTCCGCCTGCATCCGGGTTGCCTGCTCCGCCTGCATCCAGGCTGTCTCCTCCGCCTGCATCCGTGTCGCAACCGCCTTCACCGCCTCGTACTCTCTACATTCGTTGATCTCTTTCTTCTTATCCGCAAGCCACTTATTCGCATGCTCATCCAAAAGGGTTCCGTTCGCCAATATGATCCTCGCATCCTCCGCGTCCCGTGCGAGTTGTAACCTCTTCTTTTCAAGCTCTATGTCGCCAAATGTCTTGGCCTTCTCGAGTTCTCATTTGATCACCGCTTGTTGCGTCACGGGACGCACATGCCTTCTTCCATTTGTTTTTCATGACCTGGCGATTATCCTTTGACACGGTGACTTTTTCATTCGTCACCCTGGAAACTATAGGCCGCTAGACCCAGGAAACCTTTACAAACCATTTCTCTCCGTTAGGTGAGTTGTCTACGTTTTGTATGCTAGAGCGGGATACGGGCAGCGCAGCACCATCCTACTGGATGCCGTCCATGCATCCTCCGTACACATGTCTCCTTCGAACCAGCTTTCTACACGCTTCCAAAATGCGTATAAAGCAAAGGAGGGTACATGAGCTCTGTTTGGCATTCCCGCCACACAGAAAGCATAGGGCATTCAGCCCCATTTTGACCATATAACGATGTTGGTGCATCCAGTCACCGGCTAAGCAACACCTTGAATTTTCCTAGCTCCAATACGTTTCACGTTTCATCGCCGCGGTTGGAATAGATTGGGGAGCGCGTGGCCAACAACAACAATAGAATGAGCGACAATAGAAAATAGGCTTGCTGTGCAAAAATAGGAAAAATTGTTCTGGACCGTTGGATCCAACATGGATGGCCCATATTCTCGCGGAGACATCCCAGGCCACTTAATGGACATTTTATGGAAACCCCCCTATAATGTGTACATATGAAACATGACTTTTAAGTAATGACCTTAACTTTCTCATATTCATTGGTTTGTTCTCAGTAAATAAGACTAGTTTTCAGATCCTCTCAACGTTGCCCCATCTTTGCACATATCTATTTCATGTATACTTAAGTACATAATGGCTTCTACTAGATCACTGATTACCAAAGAAAAATGAAATTGTCGACCCATAAAAAATTTGTCAATATATATTACAATATTTGTATACACTTGAAATTTGAGATATCTCATTCAAGTATATGTCAAACTGGACCATCCCAAGCAAAATCGTTAACCAAATGAACAAAAGTGACTCAAGTAGAAACATGCATCATTTTTTTTAAATATCCATCATCCGAACAGCTCTTATATGCAGGAACACAATAATTCTTTCCAATAGCAAAAGCATGGCAGGAAGCGAAGCAACAAAGACCCGGGAATAATCTACGCTTAT